CAAAAGCTGACATTAGCTGAGGCACACAGCTGCGTGCACTGTAAAGATGGCAGGAAAAGAAAGACTCTTGAAGAAAAGTCTCTACATGTCAGCCCTGTGACAGACATGTCCAGGCTGTCTAAGGTGGACCCCGCCTCTTGCCCAATGTCAGATGGGATTTGCTCCAGCCCCTCCCCCCCTTGACCCTCGTTAAGATAAGCAGTATAGATAATGGATGGATGGTTTATTTTGAAGTGTAAAAATTACAAATTGTAGTGTTGTAGGGGAGTTTTATGTGCTACGTGTACCTTGGGCAGACAGTGACCTTCTGGAGCCGTGTTATCACCATGACACTGCAGTTTGTCATTTTTACACTTAAATTCTTGTACAAATTAAAAACATAAGACATAACATGCTAATCAGTGAGCTTTAGAGGTGCTGGAAGAAAGATATATTTTAACCTTTGAACCAGCTGTAGCCTAATATTAACAGTACTAATGTGAGAGTGGTATCAATCTTTTCATCCTACTCATCCAAAAAAAGTTAGAATATTCTTTAAAGTTAACTGGGTGCGTTACAGTGTGAGGTGGACGAAATGTTTGGTACCAACCATTCCCCTTTGTAACCGAGTCATTTACTTGTGGCGGCGCAGATCCTCTGTGAGCACAAACTTGTAATTACTTAGCTTAAGATGAGGTGCAGGTCAGCCATCCTGTTTTCCATATGGCCCGTGAGGTACTTGTCATCTCAGTGATGCGGCCAGTTCTGGGCAGCAGATTGTCCTGCTGCAGCCACTCTGTGCAAACAATGAGGAGGCCAAGTTCAGGCGTGAGCAGCAAGCAGCAGTCCTAGCAGTCTGACATAATCAACCTGTCTCACCCTGCAAGGCAGTGGAGTTGTCTACTCATCAGCATTGTGCTTCTCTTTTAATCCTGTGCATCAGCATAGTCGGTCTGTCTTGTTTCTTCTCAAAACACTTTTAACATCCATTGCTCCACTCACCATCTCTGTGTTTATCCATGGTATCACAAAACATTTAAGAATATTCCTAAAGATGGATATTTATATTTGTTGTTTCTAAAAGGAAAGAAAATGTCAGTCATCACCTGTGTCATACTTTTTACCGGTTTCCTCCATGTTTCTGTTCTTCTACAGATGTCCTGTTTTTAGAAGACTAAGGGAGGAAGCAGAGAAAAGGAAGAGGCCTGCGTGGAATGAATTAAAGGGACGTAAAGGTGATGGTGAGTCGTCTGGGGATGCTAAACATTCGGCAGCGCTTTCTCGAAATCCCACCCGAGATCAGCCTGAGCCTGGACTTATAAATCCTGCCTATGAAGAAAGTGAGGAAGGTATGAAGTCATCTTATAATTGTAACAGCCACCATTAATCACAACAGTGATTCAAGTCAAATCACATTTATCTGTATAGCTTGATATCACAAATTTGCATCAAGGGGCTTTAGAAATCTGTACTGCATACGACACCCTGTCATTATACCCTCAAACTGGATAAGGTAAACTTGAATATAGTCTTTTTTTTTCTGTGCAAACATGATCATTAGAAGAACCACTTGTTAGGAAACGACTTGTAATAAAAGGCTGGTCATAGAGTGCGGCAGTGACAGTGAGTAATGTTTATAGAAGATCCCAGGTTTAACTAGTCATCTTCCCGGGGAGATTGCAGGAAACCCAAATCTTTGTTTCCACCCCTTTCAGTGGGGGTGGTTGTAAAACACACAAACAAGGAATTGCTGATGTTTTTAGCCTTGAGGGTTTGACTCTGTCACAGGTGAATCATCAGCCCAGCCAGAGGAACATGTACCAACTGACATGTTTATTTCATAGTTGACTTACAAAAGCTCATTGAGAGCCACTGTACTGGAGTCAGATTCCTTGTGTGTTCGACATACTTGGCAAATAAAAATGATTAAGATCTTTTAACCAGAGATTTATCATCACGAGGGAAAAACCCTTGTGGAAACTTGCAAGCCACTTCAATGGACCAAAGTCCACTAAAACGTTGTTGTTGCCATGCAGCCGATGATCAGAGTCCACAGCAAAGCTTGTATTGTTGTCATTATAATCTCTATTTTAATCAAATTACTGCTGTATCCTGTTCAAATCTGCAGCGATCAAAGTGAAATGCAGTAAGGTGACACATTTAAATAATCACTGAACAGTTTTAGATCCGAATGTCAGCCTGTTGACTCATTCAGGTTATGCTAGCTCTGCAGTCATACCTCTGTGATTCCAGTGGGATAAAAATAATTTGTAGTACTCTGGAACATGTACACACTTTATTGGTCTCTGTGTTTACACAGACCAGTTCCAAGGCTGAGAGACCCTGTGCAGTCCAGTGTGATAAAACCTTCACTATCTTACTGTGATAGTTGCAAGTTGTTCACTCTGTTTCCTATCTATGGGATCTATGATCTATGCACTGTTAAAAAAAGAAGATTTGTAACAGGCTATTGATTAACACAGCATTTTGTAATTGTGAATATCTCCACTGGTACAGGTATACCTGTTGTTTTGCTGAGGGTTAGATGAGAGGATAAATATCTGTCTCTATGCATTCATTAAAGAGACAGGTACAATACACTGGTACAGTGCAGCAGGAAATGTCTTAAATTAGTACAGTTTGCTGTTTAGTGGGTTTTGCATCTATTAGGATCTGTGAAGGATCTAATTAACACAGACCAAAAAGACATTCTCAGTTAGTATTAAACAGTAATGACCTGCCATTTCCCTAGTGTCGTTTTAAAGGATTACTTTATTACAGCATGAGTCAAAATTGCATTTCTGGTGTCACTTCTACATGTTAGAGTAACATTAGTAACATTACATCATTGCTGAGATTCGGGAACAGCACTATAAAGGAGTCAGATAAGGCGGGTTGAAGCCAGATGATCTAAACCACCTTATTTGGTTGGTGAAAGTGACAGCAGCTGAAATGTCAGTACTAATCCATCAGTACTAATCCCTCATTGTGCATGTTTAACACTAAGAATCAGGATGTTTACCAATAACAATTTTACTGTTTGTCCTGTTTTTCCACATAAGTTTTTCTAACCTGGGAGTTTCTGTATTTCCATCAGGAAATACACTGAGCATGTTTTATATATAGTGACACAACTTTATTTATATATAATGTAGAGACCAGCTGAGGCAGCAGGTTGAAAGTGCTGATGTGGGGCTTTACTATCTCATTTATGTCTGTAGGCCATAAAACAAGTGTTTAAACCTGAGTTATCATTTGCAGTAATTTACAGGCAAATATCAAGTTTTAATGAAAAATAAATACAAGTTGGGATAAAATCATAATGTAAATGGACTATCATAATTTTATTTCCTCAGTTTTTCTGCTGTATTCACGCATATAAAAAGTGAAACGATAGATTTGTAGGCCTTTGTTTAATTTTTGTATTTTGGGTCCCTGACAGATTGATATTCGGTTCAGGGGGGCAGTTTAAAAGGTGTATTTGCTTCATAACAGAGGGAACACGGCCACATTTATTCCACTTGGTTCCCTGCTCCTCTTCCTTCCAGACAACACCCCCCTGCGATGCAGCCTGGTGGCTGAGGCCACTGTGGTGGAGCTGCTGAGAGAGGAGCCGGAGGAGGAGCTGGGCTTTCGGATCGTTGGAGGGAAAGACACACCGCTGGGGAACATCGTCATCCAGGAAGTTGTCCGGGACTCACTAGCAGCTCGTGATGGCAGACTTGCCCCAGGGGACCATATCTTAGAGGTGAGAGGGACTTGAGTGATGAATGTGGTCAGATAATAGAGCATCAAGTACTCATCTCTTCATCATCATGGGAATTCAGAGGTGTCTAGTGGCACAGTGTGACACAATTCACTTCAACGTACGTCTGCTTGGTTTTGTAAACAGAGTGCTGGGAATGGGAAAGTAGATATTCAAGATAAACACGTTTTAGCTCCATGGTAACAAGGTGTGTTTAATAGTGCTGGGCATAAACACACCATGTCAGTGTCAACAGCTTTCTATGGTGGCTGTCACTGACTTATTCTTTCTGAGAGGGGTCAGTGACCGAAGATGAAGTGGGCTAAAATTTAACCAGTTTTTTAAATGTTACATAAACAGAGTTAATATGATACAAACTGTTCCAGTTCTCTGGATTTTTTTTGTGCCCTTTAAGGCTGCAAGTAATGATTATATTATTTTCATTCATGATTAACCTGCTAATTATTTTCTTTGTCACTCCTTTGGTCAATAAAACAGTGTCAAATGTCCATTACAATATCATAGAGCCCAATGTGATATTATCACGTCTCTTTTTTTGTTCAACCAATAGTCTAAACCCCCAAATGTTCAGTTTTCTATAATGTAAGACCGAGAAAAGCAGCAGTCTCTTGACCGACGTTTGCAGCTCTAGTGCCCCTTGAGTGGTAATGTAAATATTAGAAGGGAATAGAAGCACAGAATGACTCATCAGCGATTTTGATCATTTGTGGCGGCTTCCTCTGTTCCTACAGTGTCTTCCTCCTCAGATTTCTCCCCTCCGGTTCTCCCGGAACATGGCACTGCTGTGAAATTAGCTCATAGACTATTTCAGCCTTGGCTTTGCCACCCCCGCTTCAGTGTGTCTTCCAAAAAGTAGCTTTCTCCCTAAAGCCAGCCATTCTCAAACCTGGAAATGAAAACCAAAAGCTGCCAGCCCTCTGGCTGCCTTTAGTTGTTGAACATCCTGCTGCAGTTTTCTTTCTTTTTTTTTTTTGGCTTTGTGGAAAGTTGGAAGCTGGTGGATGTGAGGAGCAGAGTTTTCTTGAAACTCGCTCTTCTTCTCCCACCTTGAATTGATACATAGATTATTTTAAAGGCCTACTCACATTTGACAGGCTCTTGACTTAAATCGAAGGCTTAAGATAACCTGTTTTTGTTAATGGTCCTGACTGTTGTAATGCAAGAAAAAGACAAAGAATGTAAGATATGATATTAAAGTCAGATTTTAACAACATGAAGCTCCACTTCTACTTTCTGGCTGATGGTAACACATTTGCAGGAGACACAACATAATTAGTTAATCTTACTTTTTTCAATCACAAAAATTCTTCTTATAATTTTCCATAGTAGGACATCAGCAGAATATTGAAGTTGGTTTTCAATATTAGACTAAAAAGTCACATTTGTTTTCCTTTAAAAAAGTGTGTGGACATTTGTTCATCAGTTTGCTCTAATCTGGAAAAGAGTATAGGAAAAATGTTCCTCAGGAGGTTAAAATGTCTTTTTGTCACTTATATGGACAAGGGTTAAACTGCAGTGTTTGTGTTAGGCTGCACCCTCACTGACCGTCTTGTTGTTTTGGTGATGTTTTTCCAGGTGAATGACGTCAGTTTGGCTTCGGTCCCCCATGCCTGCGCTGTCGCAGTGCTGCGGCAGCCCTCCAGCTCACCCCTCAGGCTCACTGTTATGCAGGAGAAAGGTTTCAAAACAAGGGATTTGCGGTCTGATCATCAGCCTTCCTCCACTGCCACCCAGTCCTCTCACAGTCCCCATGGCAACACTACATCCAGTCACAACCCTGGCACAGTCCTGCAGGTGATGCTGATGAAGAGCCAGCGTACCGAACCGCTTGGCATCAAACTCATCCGTAAATCCGATGAGTCTGGGGTTTTCATCCTGGACCTGCTGGCTGGTGGTGTGGCAGCCAAAGATGGAAAACTGAGGAACAATGATAAAGTGCTGGCCATTAATGGACATGACCTGAGGCATGGTACACCTGAGAGCGCTGCCCAGATCATACAGGTACATTAAAGATCAGTGACAGGAGTTTTCAAAATATTTAGCCCATTAACTACAAATGCCATACCCTCTTTCTAGTTTTACTTTCCATTTTATAAAGCATGGCATAAGTTTTAAAAAATAATTTCTTCAGGCTTCTATTAGTTCATGTGCATTTCTGTATACTGAACCTTTAGGCATCTTGATCATCATAGGATTTGTTGGTGCATTTATGGAATTACAGACATTTGAGAGTTGAGATTCTCTCAGAAAATCAAGCGAAAAATCGAGACCAAGACAACAAACAACCCGCAAACATGGGCACTATAGCAACATCACAAACTATACAGCTAAAGCATAAAAAACAAAATTACAATCGGCAGTCAGCTCCTATTAGTCGTTCATTTCCCCCATCACTTGTTGCAGTGTCCTGCAAGCATTTGAAGGTAGCAACAAGAAAGTATTTTTAGTTTGTAGTGACATCATGTTAACAAAACAAATTTCTAAATCTTTAACCGTCAGTAGCTTAGAGGCTGCAGTATTCATTACACTACACAATTCAAAGGTAACTGAGCCCTTGAATACCCATACAAAATAAAATCTTTTTTTGAATAGTTCATGTTTTGTCCTGAGATTACTATGAACCAGGAAGGCAGCAAGTCAGTCTAAAAAAAACAAAAACAAAACTCAATAATTACAGCATGGAAAATGTGTCTTCAGTTACATAAATAATCTGTTGTTAATCTGTTTGTTGCACAAAACATGTACAACTCCCAGTATGAACACCAAATCAGTAATCATGGAATTCATAATAAAGTGTTTGTATTTGCTGTGAAACTAATTGATTAGTTTCATGTGCATCTAGGTCAGTGAGATGCGTGTGAACTTTGTGGTGATGAGACCTGCAGAGACCCCGGAGGAAGGAGGAAGTAGTAGAGAGGGACAACAGAGCAGAGCAGCCAGGAGAGCAGCTGAGCAGCAGTACTTCCGGCGCCATTCCACGTACATGAAGGTGATTCAGAACTTCAAACTAAACAAGACTGCTTCTGTCCTCCCCTTTAAATAAAATATCATACACCCATATTTCTTTGGACTCTTGCCAGCTATTGACTACTGGAATTTAACTTCCTTTTACACTTCAACTGCAGCTTTGGTCGCACTGTCTTACAAACTTTGCATGTTTCTGTTTACACAGTGTAACTGTGATGATCGCTCCTTTGTCAGCCACACACACAGTCGTACCATACACTGTCAGCAGAAAGAATAGCACCCCCCCCCACTTGGGGGTGAGAAGCTTTGAGAGCAGACACCTGCATTGGTGAGCAGAGATGAAAGCCCTTCCTAGGGGCTCCCTGTGTCCTGATCAAAAGGCCTGGGGTGCTGCTCTCTGTGCCGCTGCAGGGCCTCTGTCATGTTTTTTTTTTTTTGTCCTTTCTTTGGGTGGCAGAGGATCAAAGCTGGTAACAGTTAGCTTTTGCCTGCAGAGTTGAGCCTTTCGTCTTGCTCGGGGGGAGGTTCCCTGCTGGGGGGAGGAAGCGCCCCTACCTCCCCCCAGCTTCCCTTCTGATGGTTTACAGGCTCCAGAGAGCAACAAGGAAGCTGGTTGAAGCTGTCATTTTCCACACATCTCTTCCATTACGAGAGCTTAGTGTTGATCCTCACACGCTACCTCAGCCCTTACCTCTCAGCTCCATCTCAAATGCTTCACATTTGTCTCTACGAGTGGCTTTGTGAGAGGAATGAGGAAGTTGAAATTAAAACGGCTGCACAGACTTCAAGCATGTTAAAGCAAACAAGAGACAGTAGGAAAAACATACTTGTAAAATGTGGCATCATGAACAAGGCCAGCATTTTTTGAAACCAGTGATGTTGATCGATATGTTTGTCCTTTCAATCTTAATTTGTAACATTGTTCATGTAGGATCCTCCCGGTGGGTTTTCCAGCCAGGAGAAGACGGTGAGCCTGAAGAAGGAGCCTCGGCTTTCCCTTGGCATCACCATTGCCGGAGGGCGGGACTGTCGCAGCCGCCTGCCCGTTTACATCACAAGTGTGCAACCTGTTGGCTGTCTGCACCAAGATGGCACCATCAAAAGAGGTGCAGAGCAGCATTAGTGATTTGTATATAAAAAATGTTGAAGTTAACAATGCTATTTGTTGTGGCTATAGTATTTTAATTATTAATTAGTCTCTTGGATTATTTTCTCAATCATTTGTCTATAAAATGTCAAATTTCCTACTGTAATTCAAAGAAACCAAGGGGATGTATTATAGTGTCCTGTTTGACCAAAAAAGCAAAGATCACCCGTTTAGCGTCATCTCTATATGTATGACATTTGAGAAACTGCATCTGATTATTAAAACAGTTGTGGAGAAAGTTTTAGTTCAGACTGCGAGAATTGATTAATGTGAGTGTATTGAGTAAATTTTAATGTAAACTTTGAATCATAAACATAATTGTGTGGATAAATACACTGAGCACAGTAACAAACTGTTTTATAGGAAACTATTTGCAGTTCTGTTTTCAGATCTGTTGCAATGTAACAGTTGGTTGAATACGGTGATTTTCTTTTCACTTGCTCCTATTCATGTGTTGCTAAGGGACACTTAAACACAGAGGATGTGTGATAAAATAGTGTATTATCCAGTCTTATCCACATGGTTGAATGCAATGAATTGTAACCATCTCCGATATAAACTGTGTCATGTTGAACACAGCAGTCCCCTTAACTAAAATGTCTTTGTCCAACATCATGTGTGTTTCCCCAGGTGACATTCTGCTGAGCATCAATGGTGTTGATCTGACCCAGCTGACCTACAGTGAGGCTGTTTCCGTGCTAAAGGCTCAGACAGCTCAATCTCAGGTGGTGCTCCGTGTCATCCAGACCCTCTCCGAGGACTCTGAGGAGGACAACGAGGCTGCCAACAAGGATGAACTGGACCCTGTGGACAACCCACGAGATGACACCCCACTGTGGACTCGGTGGCTGGGATTACCGAGGTAGAGCAGCTTTTCTTACTACCAGTTATGAGTTCTGTTCCTACACTTGAACGCTATTCTAACTCTAACCTTGTCATTTCAGCCATATGCATTGGTGCCGTGACATCGTCCTGCAAAAGACCAACAACGAGAGCTGGGGCTTCAGTATTGTCGGGGGTTATGAGGAGAGCCACGGCCAACAGCCTTTCTTCATCAAAACCATTGTGCCTGGTACACCTGCTCACTTTGACGGACGCCTCAAGTAAGTTAAACTCATTTTTACGCCCATATGACACAGTCGGCTTCTGTATCCTTTCGTCAGATTTACCCACTGGACTCTCTCCAGGTGCGGTGACGAGATAGTGGCTGTGAATGGAGCCACAACAGTGGGAATGAACAATTCCTCTCTCATCCCTATGCTCAAGCTGCAGAAGAACAAAGTCACGCTGACGGTGGTGTCCTGGCCTGGCAGTCTAGTATAGCAAAACATTTAATCTCGTTTCCTTCTCACAAACACACACATACCTTGTTCTGTTCAGCTGCATTCATCATTGCCCCTTCCATATGAAAGTCTTTCTTTTAAATTACATTCTTGTTAGGGCTTTTCAGTTACACAATACTGGAACATGTACACACAAACCATCTTGTGTAATAGAAATGACTTTCACGGGTATAATCTCAGCTGGTATCTGGTTGTCTGTGTTTGGTGCACTCGCTGGAACACATGACAGTGAACAAACACACTGTCAGTCAAGGGGCAAACATGATGACAATCACTGAATTATTTGCTGAGTACAAACTGGAAGGATTGCTTTCTCTGGACCACCTTTTTAATCCTCTCCTAAAGCTTTATGTATATATAGATATTTTGCTTGCCTGTTTAATGATGTTATCTTTTGGTAGTCCTATTCAAATGATTCACATAAACAGCATCCAAAGATGAAATGTAGTACTTGGTTTATGTAGAAAGTTGTAAAGATGAATTATAGATGACTACAAAATGGCTGCTGATAGTATAGATGCCAGACATTAAAATCAGGAGAGGATGATTTTTCTAACTATTGACATTGCACTTACAAAATGCGCAGTGTGATTAAGTCATTTTGGAAATTCAAGTAAATAAGATCAACAGCTCCGGCCTCATTGTATTAGAAGAAGAGCCGATCCTACTTAGGCCACAAAAGCAATCAGTGAAATCTCTACTTAACAGGAAACCTGCAAAGATCATTTCCTTTAAGTTTCCTGTTTGCTTTTGATTTTAGCAAATGCCACAACAGGAAAACCTGGACGCATTTATGTTGTTGTTTAAAACTGTGAGCTGGTTTGTTGAAGCAAATAATCAATCATAAGATGAGGAATAAGTGATACATGCCTGTCTACCACTCCTCTGTATGTATTTTCAAACGGTTCATAGTGAATGGCTTTGATAAGTGGTGTGCCTTCAAGGACAAACTACTTGCCTTAAATTGCCACTGTACCTAAATGTTTCCGCTTGTTATTTCCTCTCATTATTACTGAAGACGATTAGGCCCGCTGTACAAAACTTGAAGTTCTGTTTTCTACAAATTCAGATTTTAAACTCAAACTTTGAATTCTGAGGAAAGGCAAGAGCTCCCCATTATTTTCAATTAAAGCCCACACACCGGTGGCTTGATACTCGTCAGCACTTCAGAATACGCTCGTCCCATTTTCCCGGCGTCAACGCAAAGTATAAAACACCGAAGTACTCACCCTTTTTTGTTAGTCCCGCACTAGATTTGTGCCACTCTCGGTACATGTTACAGGAGTCACGTGAGCTGCAACACAACACCCCCTCAGTGTGTGTTGCTTTTCAGAATCTGACTCTAAAGTCAAAATTCTGAGGGAAAAAAAAAAAGAAGTTTTGTACAGTGACCCCAGTCCTCTTTCATACATTATATACTGTATAATGCTTACATGGACTCAGACAAATTGCCTTGTCCAGTAAACTTCCTTGTTCCGGGAGGCCTTTCTTTTATCTTTATACAAGAACAATTTAGAATATTGTCTCATAACTTGTTTTCAAGTCAGAGTGGCTATGAAATATTAGTTATATATGTACTGGCCCACCCACTTTTCTATTATGTCAAATAAAATTGTAACAAATCATGATTTCCTCAAGTTTATCTGGTGTTTAAATGCATTTGTCATAGTCTTAAAGTGTCATGATGGATAAAGGCATTTTGTCAAGATCGTGGGAATTTAGAAAAGGCTTTTCTTTGGTGGGGGTTTAAACTCAAAGAACATCCAGGCTCCCTGAATTTTCAGCAAGTACAAAAAGTGAATCTCAGATATTTCATCTTACAGCTGTGTCGGGGGGGGGAGCACTTGCATGTTCAATTTAATGCAGGTGTTAATAGGGTTCACATGCTGCTATTGGTTCATGTTTCACGATGACCAGGCAGATCAGAAGTGAGTTTTAACAGCATAATACAGAACGAGTACAAATAGTTCAGACCTTTCAGAAATGTCCAATAAACTGTCCCCTCTGTTCATGGCTCATTCTGACCCCTAGAGGACAGAACTTGCACTGCGCCAGGTTCCTTGTTTTAGTAAAAACAATCATTTTAGACTTTATTAAAAACTTGTAAAATTTTTAAACAAGATTTTGCACACAAGTTACCACCTTGTATAGCAAGATAAAAAAATTGTGCTTTTGGGGCCTCTCCTGTTCGTTTTGCTGCAGAACAAGTTGGACCTCCACCTGAGCAAGTCTAATCAGCCACTTAAGGGGAAAACACCTGTGTAAGTGTGCAGGGCATTTACTTTATAGTGCTTCCTATTTTATAAGCTGTAGGCAAAACCAAAGTAACTAGTAATTATAGTTGTCAGATAACTGTAGTGGAGTAAACAGCAATATTTCCTCTGAAATGTGGTGTAGAAGCATAAAATGGAAATAAAGTACAAGTACCTTCCATTTATACTTGAGTGCAGTACTTGAGTAAATGCCTGTAAATCAGCACTGCCTAGTGGTAAACATGATGTGTCAGAACACAACATATGATTTAGACATTTTCATGAAAAATGCACTTTACGTGCTGCATCCCAATGTACTGTACACTATACTGTAACAACTAAATCTGCATGTCACAACTTTTTGTTCTCAAGTTAAAATATTTTTAAATGAAGCTGGTGTTTTAGGTTGGTTTAAAACCTAATTACTATTTGGTTGAACTGCTTGGATAAATTTCACGGAGGGGATTCTACAGTACACTACCATTAATAATTTGAGTCTAAACATACCGAAGTTACAGGAGAATCAGTGCAGTCAAAGGTTACTGAAAATGTCTTAAACAAAGACAGACTGTGAATGTGAGGGAAAACAAAAGGACCATAAAACAAGCCCCAGTGAAGCCCTCCACGTCAGGATTTGGGGGGTGTATGAGATACAGTGGAAACACGGTCCAGGATTTCCCGTTCTGATCCACAACATTCGAAAGCAGCAGCAGGTTCCGGTAGCAGCATTCCTGAGTTATATAAATGTGTCAAGTAATTGCAGGCTGCCTTGTTAAAGTTAACGATTCAACACCTTGTTAAACATGACAAACTGCCACATCTCTAGTAGTGCAGCAGCAGACTGTGGGCAAAGTGTGTTATCAGAGGCCAGTAATGATCTCAGTTTACTTAGGTGACCATCATTCATTGAGTGTGATGGTAAAATGGAATGAAATAGAAACCAGTGGCAAAGAAAAATCTAAATTAATGATTTATTTGCTCTCTCTCCATAGGAATTAGGTCATCATGACATTTACATGACTTGTAACAGGGACAATACTAGGAAGAGGATTTAAGGTTTCCTTTGTACAAGAGAACAGATTTCAACCTGTACTTCTGCGTGGTTCACCAACTACTCCAGAGGCACTCTAATACAGCAGTCTCTTGACTAAGATTCAGGAACATAATACTAACACAGGACAGAATGACTGAAACAAAGGAACCATCTGCTCAGTATGCCATGTACTACTCATGTATGTGCTTCCTAAAACATTGGAAGAACCAAACAGCACAGAGAAGAGTACAAAAGTATAAAATGAATGCAAGTTTTGGATAATTTGAGAAAATAAAAGAGTAGAAGTGCAAAGTTCAAATCATTATCAGAGATGCAACTATCTCTGGATTCAACTAATGATGTCATCTTCATTGGCAAAGACCTCACGGTGGCATGCACTGCTGCTGTCACTGGGTGAACATTCAGGATGCATTATCATCTGAAATCTGGACTCTGTTTTGGGCTCAAGTGCAATAATCAGTCCTAACTCTGGCATCTGTACACTGTAACTGTATGGCTTACAGGGTAAACAGGTCCATATAAACTAGAAAGGTACATAGACATCTTTCATTAATCAATACTATGGTATAGCAATATATTGGCAAAAAAAACTTAAGAGCTAAGTAAATTTGTGTAAACAATGGTATACCACTGTACAGCTTATCCTAACATGGTATTTACAGGTCAAGTTCTTTTACTGGTTAGTTCCCATGTACGGCTGACGTAGATCGTCACAATATGATAAATGTCTCTTGACTAAGATTCAGGAACATAATACTAACACAGGACAGAATGACTGAAACAAAGGAACCATCTGCTCAGTATGCCATGTACTACTCATGTATGTGCTTCCTAAAACATTGGAAGAACCAAACAGCACAGAGAAGAGTACAAAAGTATAAAATGAATGCAAGTTTTGGATAATTTGAGAAAATAAAAGAGTAGAAGTGCAAAGTTCAAATCATTATCAGAGATGCAACTATCTCTGGATTCAACTAATGATGTCATCTTCATTGGCAAAGACCTCACGGTGGCATGCACTGCTGCTGTCACTGGGTGAACATTCAGGATGCATTATCATCTGAAATCTGGACTCTGTTTTGGGCTCAAGTGCAATAATCAGTCCTAACTCTGGCATCTGTACACTGTAACTGTATGGCTTACAGGGTAAACAGGTCCATATAAACTAGAAAGGTACATAGACATCTTTCATTAATCAATACTATGGTATAGCAATATATTGGCAAAAAAAACTTAAGAGCTAAGTAAATTTGTGTAAACAATGGTATACCACTGTACAGCTTATCCTAACATGGTATTTACAGGTCAAGTTCTTTTACTGGTTAGTTCCCATGTACAGAGGGTTAAATGTAAAAAAAAAAAAAGGTATGTTAGGCAGTTTCAACCATCCCATCTACTTGCAAAGAACTGGATTCAAGAGAGGAAACCCATCACACAGCAACTGAATCTACAGACGTGGTGAATTACCCCAGTGCCTTCCTCCTCCTTTCACATGAGTTATTTAAAAAAACTTATACATAAGGCAAGGATAGTTAAAGAAGGTGGAGGCATCACATTCTTCGCAGAGGACTACTGATATAATAAACAGGACACAGGTTGATGGTTCTTTGGGGTAAATGCACTTTTCGAGAGTTTCACTTGTCACATGTAACAAAAACACATGAGAGTGCAACGATGGGGACATGTCTAGCTCTGTCGGGAAAATGTGCAAAATCTGCTCTAAAGCAAAGTGACAGTGTTGCAAGTTCAAATGTACAAGGTACTGGGAGATGTACAGGGTTGTCTCGAGAGACGGCGGCGCAGACCCTTATTCCAACACACTGTATATACAAGGCACTAAGGATAAGATTCAAGGGCCACACCTCCAGTCTGATAACAGCCTCTTCAGTCTGGTCGGAATATAGGATATTTGGGTAAGAATTCTATAAGAATCACCTACAGAGAGATACAAGACAAAACTAATTATGTTTCAGGATTCCTGCAAGATGTGGAAACATACAGCAACTACAGTATTTAACTAGAATGGAGACTATCAGCTGAAAGAGTGAATTATGTTTAAATACCACTAGGCTGCAGCAGCAAATATGTTTAGAAAGATATGTATGGGGTTAAATTTTTCATCAAAATAATGAGGAAACATTAACTACTGTGTCTGGCAAGTGATGACAGCAAATGTATCTGTAAAATTTTATTCAAAATGTATTAAATTAGTTTTCTACAGAAGAGGGTTAGGGCCACTGTCATAAATGTGTTTTAATTCTGACTTTAATCTCAAAACTGAGAAAAAAAGTCAAAATGTAAAAAAGCTTTTAGTGTCCCTTAGTTCTCTTCCATAGTTTTCAGCCAAAATATCAGAACACTATGTGGAGTAACTTTAACCTAAACCACAATCTTTCCCCAACTAAAGCCTTTGCCTCTGGTGACAGTCTTGTGTTGCCAGACATCCACCACGACCACTTCTTTTTACCATTTACCACACTTTACTTGGGAAAACAATCTAAAAACTAAATTTAATTTAATTTTTATTTAACAATTTAGTACTAAATATACATCATATTTTAGAGAGAGGGTTGGATAAAGTTATTTAAGTTTAGTTAACTGTGAAGCATTTATAAACAGCTGTTCATTTCACTGATTTCCTCTTCTCTCTGAAAACATTTTTAAGGGCCAGCTAACCTGCTGTGCACTGACTAAACTAACACTGACTTGCCATTTAAAGATACATAGAGGTTTAAAAACATTATGTTGGTCTCTAGGAATTTATGTGCATTTCTTACTATTTTCTGACAAGAAAATTATCTGTAGATTAATTGGTAGTGAAAATAACCACTAGTTGCAGCTCTTATATTAACACTGAAGTTAAAATCCAATCATTTAAGGTTGCTTTGTTGGTTTTGACAGCATACTTACATATTCCATCATATTACTGCTTTCACATTTTCTTTTACTCAGTTTCCAATGCAGCCCAAGCTGAAGAGAGAAGAAAACACAGACACAATGAATTAACATCTTTCTCCCCCCAACCCCACCCACACACACACACACACACAAACAAAAGAAGAGTCTGTCTGAAATCTCCTCATCAGTGTCAGGAGAATTTGGCAGAAGGGCTGTCTGGTCTTGCTGGGGTCAAACTGTGGCCAGACACCCTGAAGAGCTTCTTTTATGCCTTTGCACAGCTACTAGCTGTAATTTGTTGCTGCGAGACAAAACAAAATTAACACGGCATTTCACTGCTGACCCCACAGACTCTCTCAGGGTAAGTGCACCAGATCTGACTCAAACAGCTCTAAGGTAGTTGTGCAGCAGCTTCTGGGTTTGCAAAACAAATTAATGGTCATTATCCATCATGATGATACTCAGCATACACTGACCACTGACAGACAATTAAGCACTTTCACACAAAGGCCAATATGTGATTTGTCATCTTTCTTACCTTGTGATATAATCTGTTATTTTCCCACTCTAACAACTTCTGAATAGACCTTCTTGTCTGTTGAGCAGAAAACAAATACCTATATATAAGCAGCCAAATACTCATTACTCAATTTTACACTTTAACAGGTAACAGTAAACAGCCACAGTGACAGGATTTATGGACTGAACTCCCAATTTACTAGTAATTTCCACTTTGTTGTCAGTAATTCTGAGTGGTAACACCACTTTTAAATGACAGACTCTTGAGCCGTGCAGCGCAATGAGTCATTTTTACACAGAGCTACTCATTGAACTCAAGTTGTTATTACCCACTGCATTAAGACCAATGTGGCTGAACTGCTCTAGCAGCCCTGAGTAATGAGTACTGATGTAAAGGAGAATTAAACTGTGTCACACAAGGTCAGGGACTTACCCTCTTGTTGAGGCAGATAACAGGCCACAGACTGCAGCCTACTGTACAGCAACAGCACAGGCAGCCGCAAAGAAGCCACTTCACATTCACTGGCAAGTTCTTCTTCAAACAAGCATTCACCCTGCAGATGCTGGTTTTAAACTCCTCTGGTGCTACCTAAAAAAAAGGCTGGATGTATGTACACCAGGGTCTTTGTAGTGGGACTATCAGAAAATGTAAGCATTAACTAAGAGCAAGAAGAGAGTGAGACATTTCATGTGTTTCTTGGTACAGATATGAACATTCCAAATTGCTCAAAAAAACCTGTACACAAAGATCAAAGAGTTTTGGAAAACCAGCAGGTAGATATTTGCAGATGTTGTCCAGAGATCAGATGACATCTCTAAATACTAAGCCTCTGACTTGCTAACCAAGCCCTAGACTGTTCGAGGCAAGAAGGGACTTAAAGGAGAGATAAGCTCAGTGCCTGTGGCATCGCCAGCCAAACAACTTGAATGGATGCTCATTCCTTGCCGAGTCTGTACGCCATAAAACAGGGGTCGTAATCTTTTATGACAGGATGCAAAGGTCTCTTCGCAAACAGCCAAAGACCTCAGAATAAAGCCCAGCAGGGCCTGATCTGCACCTTTCAATCATCATAATTGTGACCTCATCCATCACATGTCACCCTGGGTCACAATACTGAAGGTACTTTTTATTGCCCCACACTTCCCTCGGCCTGCGCTCACCCCTGCAGCCTTTTTGTCTTTCTGCGTCCGACCCAGGAAGCTTTCCTTTCTTGTCTACGCCAGAGTCCTCATTTCATTATTTTATCACCTAGAGCTGGACCCTCCAAAACACCAGTCCTCGTCAACAGAGCCCCATAGATGGCTTACACATTTACAGAGCTGGACAGCAGCACATTCAGGCACTTTACTATACACTGTGGTGCGTCAGTTGAAATGCATCTCCATCAGATTAAAGCCACTTAGAGAGGCTTGAATGGGGCAGTCTGGGGAAGTCGGGGCTGTTAAAGGCCCAAAAGAACAATAAAAATCACTGTGGCTTTAATTACTTAATTCCTCCCACTTGGAGTTGAGCAGAAATAAGCCCGCAAGACTGAAGTGTAAGAAAACCAAAAAGCAACTGTACCTTTCCCGTGAGAACAGAGGGAAATTCTGTGTCAAATCTGTTGCTCAGTCCAAACCTGAAACAAAAACAACAAACAAAATGTGTTCACTGGTACTGTAATAAAATGTTTCTAAAGAGAACAAGAATAATCTAGAGTCAGAAGCCACCTGTGCTTTATATACTGCATGGTTTTCACTGATGAGAATTGGCCACTGTAGATTGGATGTGACATTCATATGGATTCACATAAAGCATCCTCACTTTACCTTTAGAGCCTAAACCTTCTACACAGTATTGTGTAAATACAGGAGTGTTCACACCATTTGCAACTGAACAGTTTTCATGTCATTGTAGAAATAAAAGAAGCATTAGAAACTGGATGGAAGTGGGCATGTGTATTTTGATCTTTTTGACCAGACAGATAAAGCTCAATGATAACAATCCCCATGTGAACAGTAGCAAAGGTAATTGTGTTTGATACCTTCTTATAATTGTCATTAGCATCCAAATGCAGGGTTGGCAAAGGAGGTAAAGTAAGACTCCAGCTGAGAAATAGCATTTGTGGTGAAAGTGAGGGGAGATCTGACCATGAAGATAGTGATGCACCTTCTCAGGTTTTGCAATTCATTCTGACTGACCTACGACATTACGGAGGGCTAATGAGCTTTCAGCTTTGTGCTCCTACAGCCGCAGTCAATGAGTCCATTCACAAAAACATTAATCTGCAACCATTTTATCAATCGAGTCATTTTTCAGCAAACAAAGATTAGCATTTGATGCCTTAGTTTTATCACATCATAGTGATAAATCACAAATTTATTCACTTTCGCACTGCTGATGGAATAAAAGGAGCAATCTAAATACATCTCTGTGAGCTGTGTAAAATTATAACAGGTGTTTCTGACTATTTTCTTACATTTTATAGACAAATTGATTAACATATTCACTGGGAAAATAAATGATAAAGTGTGTTTAGCTAAGTCATGACCTCATGTAACCCAATCACGAAACGGGTAGTCAAAAAGACAGACAGTTAAGCTATATCTGTGGTAGAAGAAGTAAAAATTTAAAGTTTTAAGTTTAAAATTTTGAATAAAAGTATTTGCACAACAACTTAAAAGCACTCCTTTATAAGTACGGTCCTGCACTGAAACGTTTACTTACATAACAGTACAGAAACACCTTCAGCTAAATTCATTTAAAGAATCTAAAGTAAAAGTACTTGACCCACAGTGACTGACACATTATCACATATACATTATTAGTTTGCTAAAAATGAATGCATTACTGCATAAGCATTTTTCAGTTGAAGGTTGTCAATGTGGAGCTAGTGTTAACTATATAGAATTAACTAGTTTAGTCTCGCAAGTCTAAACCTAGGAGTTTGAGCCCCTAGTGGGAGAAGACAATCAAAGTTATGCTCCACAAGTCAGTATTTCTCTCATCTTCACTTTTTGTGGATAATTCCAGCTGTTAAATAAAATTATCTGAGAGGTTTAAAAGAGAAACGACCCACTGGTAGCACTGTTATCATCTCCAATCTCAAACCTTTAACATCTGAAACCTACTACAAGGGGCACCAAACAGACATTTGTTTTCTAAGGTGTTTTGTATTATATTTAATGTCTGTCATGTTTTTTGATATTGATATTCTGAATGCAAATTTTGACAAAACTGGGGCTGCAGCTGAGTTTCATTGTTGCTTAATCTGCCAATTAATCTATGAAACGTGAAAACAATTTGCTGAAAATATCCTTCACAGCTTCATAGAGCCAAAGATGATGTATTCAAATGTCTTGTTTTCTTCCACCAAAGGCCCAAATAAAAACAAATATTGAGTTTATACTGACATATGACAAACTAAAGGCAGGAAATCCTCTCACTTTGGAGACTGGAATCAGAGAATAATTGTCACAGTTTCACAGTTTCTGCTTGAAATTTGACTGAAAGAATTACTGGATTATCAAAACAGTCGCCAGTTATTTTTCTCTGAGTGGACCAATTGAAAAGTTAATTGTTATTAGTTATCCTACAAGTAACTAGTAACGACATTCAACTTATTGTGTGCAGTGGAGTAGAAAGTAAAATATTAATTATTATAAATGGAAATACTCAATTAAAATACAAGTAACCTACCTCAAAATCGTACCTAAATATTTAATTACTTTCCACCACTGCTGCTTAATAAAGTCTGCTGTTATAGCAGCGCTGATGGTGGTGTAACGTTAAGTTGTGGGTCTTAACGGTTGTAACGTTACAGTCAGACTAACTTAGCTAGCGTTAACGTACATGTAAACCTCTCCATACTCAATATCGATTGCTAGTCTACCGCGTTAATGATTGCCATGAGGAAATAAAACTGTCACCGTTAGTTTATGTCGCAGTAATGTTCCCCCTGTAAGCAAACCATTTATTCCCATGTCAAAGCATATGGCTAACTGTTAGTTGTTGTGATTTACGTTAGCTAGCAGGGGTTAGCATCAGCTAAACAGGCTAAAGGATAACAAAGCGACACCAGGAAACAGAGCAGCGACAAACACGGCTTACACTGTGATGTGCCCGGCCCCTCGCATAACCACGGGTTCCGGACAGTATCTGGGCAAGTGTTCCTCACTCACAACATGCTCATCGTCTTCGTCTTCTAACTCATAAATGGTATCAAAGTCCGCCATGTTGGGTAGTAAGACGCTCATGACGTTTCCTGCGGGGTCGCGCACGGACACTCGGGCGAGCGCGCGGAGCTCAAGCTTGTAAATAGACGCTCTGTGCTCATAAGAAACCATGCAGACCATTATCATCGCTAATGTCAGGACGAAATTAGTAGAATATGTCAGCACAGTGGCAAACTCACTTTTTAGCCAATATTATAAGTCTTGCTGTTTGCATTTGGGTTAGTAATTAATTAGGTTAGCCTAGGTTATTAGCCTTGGATGCGAAAGCAGGTCAAAGTCAGCAAAAGTCCTCTTCCTAAAATAGCCAGTCTAGCCACCTGACAGTTAGCCTACCACCTAATTACACATGAACCGTTCACTCTGAAAGGAAAAACATGACCTTTTAATTTCTAAAATACTTGGCTAGATTTACTTTGTGCTGAAGAAGTCTACGGGCGGCATCTTTAAAACATTTTAATAAATGTAAACTAAACTAACCAACATTTGTTGCAAATATGTGAATAAACAACAGGGAATATCAAAAATAGACCTTCATAGCTCTTCATCCATTGACTCCTTTTCAGCTGGCTGGTTTTAAAGTGGGCAACTTCAATGAGAACTTACACTGAACCAATGTTTGTGAGGCAGCAGAGCCTGTTGATATCAGTATTAGTTGATACTGGTTTATGTTATCTGTATTGGTGGAAGCGTTTCAAATATAAAACTGCAAGCTAATTTGACCCAAACGAGGCAAAACTCAAAATCCAGACATTAGATAAAGGACAGGTGTAGCCTACTGCAAAAAAAACAACCTTTTATTTACATTTTGAACGTTGCATCCAAACGTCATTAACATGTGTCCGGATTAAATTGTGCTGAAAAACGCGTGGAAATGATTTGTCAAGTCAAAGCAGTTTGTCCAGTGTGACACACAATCCAGTTTAAACGTCCATTAAAAGGTCCCTGACATCTTACTTTATTCACAAACACATACACTCCAACACGTACAAAAATGATATTTATATCTTATTAACTCACAAACAATTTAATACTTTTAAGTCTGAAACACGTCGATTTTTTCGTTTTTTTTAATCCCCATGTTATTAAAACTATTCTATAAAAAACAATATTTGAAGAGCCTCCAGCATTGCGTTGCTATAAATCAAATGTTTATCCAGTTTTGTGCTTCAGGGCGTGAGTCCAGATGCTCTGGTGTCCTGTCAGCGAGTCGGAGTGCTCAGTTATGTTACGTGGTCCTGAGGGTGAACTGCTTTACTGAGTCACAGTCACTTGCTGTATATTCCTGATAGACGGCAAGGTGTTCATTTCCCGAGGAGGGTACAGTGAACCGTGGATGTCTGAGGGACTGAGGGAGCCCGGCACCGGCAGAGGGCTCACGGAGCCCGGGTCACTGTGCACGGACCCCCCGCTGCCGTCAGACTGACCCATCTTCTTCTTGATCAGCTTCCTCTCTTTGGCTCTGCGGTTCTGAAACCAGATTTTCACCTAAAAAGACACACAAAAAAGAAGATCCAATTAAATCATTTTGAGCGTAAGCTATTTCATTCAGGTCTCCACGCTATTTATTTTACATCAGTAAATTAAAGTAAAAATATTTGATCGAACCTACGAACAATTCTAGGTCTACCTCCTGGTTTAATCCCTACTCTAGCTTTTTATTAAAATGGAATTCATAAAAACAGATAGGTCTAGAGGAAATAAAAACGATTAATAATCAATAACAATAATAAGCATCAATGTTTTGGTCTTATCTACCTCGTTTAATCTCCATGCAATTTCCTACTCAATCAAATCAAATAAAAAATAATAAATAAAAGTAAAATGTCTATTAACAGATAAATAGGAGCAGAACATTACAATCATAAATATCGATAATAAATGTAGATCTAGCATAATTAGGCCATTTCCACATCTTATTTTGCTGTCATCGATTAAAAATATAAAAATCTACTGTATGAATGCAACAAGACCGTATTTACCGTATTTCGACGTATCAGGAAATGATGTTTGTATTGAAATAATTAATTGATTAAAAAAAAGTAATTAAACACAATATATCAGGGGTGAAGATATTTAAATATATCCAAGACATATACATTTCTGGTTTATGGAGCCTATGGCAATAATTTGATAATAAAATCGGGCCTCAATTTGCAGGTTAAACATGTGAAAACAAGCCTATGTGCTGTCATTTAATGCGCATACACAGCACAGCTCAGGCCTATATGAACAGAAATTATTTGTTGCATGTCTTCCTGCGGTGACACCCGACAGAAGTATGGTGGCTACCTGTCTTTCCGACAGACCGAGGTTGACCGCCAGCTCAGATTTCCTCCTGATGGTTATGTATCTATTGAAATGAAACTCCTTTTCCAGCTCCAGTCTCTGATGGTCTGTGTACACTACTCTGTATTTCTCCTTCGTTCTTGTTTTACCTGTGAAAATGACAAAAAAAAAAAAAAGCCAAAACATAGCATAAAGATTTAGCCTTTTAGGATCATCTGTTAACAGACAAGTGGTTGAACTGGAAGATTTACACAGAGAGGTGTGCATGCCAGGACCGGCCTATCTGCACATGGCATCTTTATTAGCTGTGTCTGCTGATACGCAAACTGGGCTTTTTGATCTGGCTTTGATGACAGGAGCAGTGCAGCGAATCTCTAAAAACCAAGAGTCACATCCTCTGGCAAGTTAAACGGAAATCTGTAGAAACTGTAGACTTAACTCACTTTGTTGGACAAAAAAATGAAAATATAATAAAAAATACAAATCAAATAACATCAAAATAAATACAGACAACATGAAATTGTTTTACAATTATGCCAATTAGGTGCATTTGTAAGTAACTTTAAAAACAAATGCCTGCCGATGACAGATCTTGTCAACATGAATAAAGTGATGGCCACATATTCTTACTATAAATGATCAGTTAAATTAATTGAATGAATATGTTGGTGGAATAGTGCAGTTTGATTCTAGGTCAACAAAATGGAAAATGTTTAGAAGCTGTGATTTCTAGGCTACTGTAAAGGCCCACTGCTCCACATTTGAGACATTAGCTGTGAAAAGCGTCAGTCTTTCCGGCAATATAACTCTGTGAGAGGAAGGAAGGTTGGTGCATATCAAAGTGAAGAGGTGTTGAAAGCAAAGGCCACCGCCTGTATATGACGGAAAACACTCAAAACACCAAACAATGTGACAGGGAAGTCGACCTCACATCTCCAGGAATAATGACATTAACATCACAACTGGGCCTGGCGCTGATTCCTCACACCTTTTTTTTTATTTCCAGGAGAGAACACAGACTGAGCTGCTGCTCTTCAGTCCATGCGCTCACCAAAATTATGAGACACAAAATAATCCATGGACACATTTGGCTGATTCTTTCTACTGCTAGTCTGATCCACTTCGTTGTTATAAGGCTATCTCTTAAACTGGCCTGTTGAACTATAGGCTACTAATGTTAACAATCTGTCACCAATGTAAATATAACCAATAAGTGTCACAGGGTTTCATTTTCTGTTCACTTCTTATTCACTTTCTTTTGACATTTTTCCCGCACTAAGTTTGACCTATTGGTGTTAAGGCATCGGGTTTAATTAAGCAAATTTGTACAAAACTGTATTTTAAATGACAGAGAACTACAAGAAAAAGCAAAGTAGCGTTTGTTTAAAACCCAGTGCGACTCAAAGAGAACCACGAACTCCTAGATGCGCAGACGCCTAAAGTATTTCATTCATCTCTTGCAGTCATCTACATATTTTGGCGCAAAGTAGAGGATGATCAACTCACCTGTAGAAGATGACTGCGCAGTTTTACTCATCCACTGGAATGAATTGCGTCTTTCTCTGTCAGGAGTAAGTTGCGCAACATTAACGTTCTCCGGCGGCGGCTGTAACACCGCAGCTCCCGGAGGGTGCATATGACTGTATTCAGATGAGCAGTAAGGAACCTGTCCAGGAGATGAGTTGTTCATGGGTGTAGGAATAGTATTAGGTGGTCCCAGACTATACGCACCCCAGTCTTCTCGTGGGGCGCCATATGTAGGTCCCCAACTCCCTGTAGACTGTGCATGCGTGTCCATGTTTGGCACATGATGGTATCCAGTAAAGTCGGGGTACTGTGGTGTAGAAACAAAGTTCTGAGGAGGCAGATTGATGCTTGATCTTCTCACTGGCCCTTGGTGATACATGCTGCTTTCTTTATCCAGTAGGTATCCCACATACATGGTTTGTACAAAAAAACAATTAAATGCAGTAAAACAGCAAAGGGAATAATGTGGCCTGTTTTAAGGCGACATTGTTGCCCTAAGACTGTTGAAAACGATCCTTCTGCTGTTTATAGTCCAGAGAGAGTCCAAGTGAAATGCGAGGTAGTTCCAGTCTGTCCCCAGTTTCACATGATATGGCTCTGTTGACAAGATGGTAAAGGTATACTGAGGCCTGACGTCAGCTAACTCCTCAGCTCTTGAAGATTTGCATTGAAATAAGAACGACCGGTGCTACCGGCCCAGCTGTCCCCCATGCCTCTGTTCTGTAGCACGTCATCACCTGACAGCGGGCCTATCCTGAACACGACTTCTCCAACTGCATGAATACATTAAAACCACGGCCTATCAGCTGCACGCGTTGCAGGAACCCGCAATAAACTGAGGCAACGCGTCTACAAACGCATTAAAAAGCCTGTGCGTAATGGACAGATGTTTTATTATATATGACTTGTTACAAGCATTCGCTTTCTAATTACAATTAATTCAGTGAGATCCTATATTACTGTCAGAAAACAGTTTTGCGCTTTAGTGCCAGATTGTTTGCTTTCTCAGCGTTATCCAGAAGATACAACAGGTTTAAAACTGTGGGAATTCAGCAGTTTCCAACCACGCTTCACACGTAAATCTGGTATCATTTAATTTATTCACTTGCAAACGAGGTGCAAAGTAGGCTATGAGAGATGTTTTCTTGAAGCAAGCTGGCCCTGAAGTATTCCCTGTTCACACCTCAAGGTCGCACTTCACAGCTAATTCCGGTTACAAGGGAACTCCAGCAACCCCCACTGTGCCAAACAGCGGCCTGCGA